TTAGAAATTTTCAGTTTTCTTGAGTTTCATTGTCGATGATTTGAGGGAATACATTAACCCCTTCCATTCATTCCAGATCACACCCTGTCCGTATGTGTTGTCTCCATAAATTCCATTCAGGTTACTTTTATGACACATATTATGCCACCATCCTCCTTTATACACTACTGCACAATTCCCTGGTGCGTTATCATTGTCATTGTCGTAAGTGGTGAAAGGCATCCCATTGTTACAAAGGATACATATTCCCGAAAAACTGTCACCTGATATTAAGTTAAGAAAAAAAATGTTCTAAGCCATAAAAATTGATAATCTTTGATTGTATTTACAATTCCAACGATTTATGTTCACATTTTTTAAAGGAATTAAACAATCTATGGACTCATTGTGTGAATGTGTTTCACAGTTATCCACAACGTGGATCTTTCTCTTTATCATAGTATAACTGTAAATTCCTTTGCGTGCGAATATCTTTTGCGAGCACAAAGAAAATAAGCCTGATTTTTCTGAAATTTAATGGCTCAGACACCTTAAGATTGCAAAATCGAATAAAAAATGTTCTGTCACTGTCAGAAGTTAATGAAAAATAGCTTTAGAGTTTAAGTGCGGAGGAACACTGTTTAATGCAAATTGAGGCATTATATACTAGTATATTCAATTTTACACATACATCTATCACAATTTCTCAGTATGCTAACTATTGATTTTCGTGCTCTGTAATCTCATGTCTTCATCTCATTAAATTTATTCATGAATTTAAAATAATTTTGTATTTTACCAGCTGTCCCGGAGTAATTTGAGACCTGAATCCTATAGCTGTCACTTGCATCTTCCACGCTGAAGCTGCCGTATTCAGCGTACCTAGTATTGCCATCATGGTCCTCTAGTTCAATACGTAATATGGTGTGTCCGTCAGCCGTCAGTTGATGGATGTACTTGTTTCCTTTATTGTTAAATTAGTAAATCAAGGAATTTGTTAAAATTAAAGTATGGATGCAATTACATAAATAATATCAATCAGGAACAGGGAAAAACGAAGCTATGGAAAGACCAGAGGTGAGATCTAGCTTTGGGACCACCAACACTGAGATTTTCCCAAATCTGAGATTTCTCAGAAAATTTTGAGTATTTTTTTCATCAAACTGTGCCACCAAGTAGTTTTTTTCTCAAACTCAGACTTGTCTTTTGAGTTTTTTGTCAAATCTTAGATTTTTCTCAGACGTGCTTCCCACCAGCGTTTTTCCGACTCGATAAAAAAAAATCTAAGAATTTTTAAGAAAAGATTTTAAGAAAGAGATTGGTATGAAGTAGTCTCATGTTAATTTCTCACAAAACTAGATCATTCTTGTTATGCAGTATTTATGAGGCGGGCTGGGTCTTATGGATATGTACGAGAAAATTTTTAAAAATTATAAAGAAACCGAAATTTATATTCATCGATACATCGGCAATGTATGACTGTCTAAAAAGAAGAATAATAAATTTCAGGGACATTTTCTCCCAGGGGATCGTAGAAACATGATCTGTTATTTAACGTGTTCCCTGTACACGTCTGTAGTTCAGTTTTTTTTCTTTCTTTTCTTTTTTTGGCTTTAAGGAGGGATTCTTCTCTTAAGAATACATATTTCTTATATTTAAAAATCAATGAAATTTTCACAGAATCAAGAAGACAATATCACTAAGTGATGGTATCAGTTAGATTAAATTTGACCGTTTTATATTAGAGGCAAGGTCAGGTCAAGGTCAGTACCTTTTCCCTGGACATTAAGAATAAAAAAAATACTGTTGCCAATCATGCGATGTCTACTTCTATTTCAATAAATTAAATATTTTTCTTTTTGCATAAAGAGATATAACCATATAAGGTCTATAAGGTAATATTATCAAATTGACATAAATAATTTAACTAAAATGGGTATTGGCTAATCCGAATTTTCTCTATTTTTCTTAAAATTTTAAGATATTTTTAAGATATTTTAGTTATTTTTATATGCTTCCTATATTTAAATTTTTCTTATTTTCACATATAGTAAAGTTGTCACATAAAGATACAAAATGATATAAAAATAAAAAGTTTTGACCGTTTACTAAGAGAGAAAAATCACTTTTTACGGATTTTTGGATCAAATCTGAACTTAGATTGGAAGCTTTTAAAATTTAACATAATTGTAGTTTGTTTGTAAAATCGTATTTATTTGACATATTTTAAAACTTTAGTCCCTTATTATTAATTTAACTTACATTTTAAAATTTTCTTCAAGTCTTTGATTGTGTAAAAATTATAACTAAATTCATTTTTTCTATAATTATTTTGAGAGGCAGAAAAGAAGATATTTTCATACGCCGCCATTCCGCCAAAAATATAGTCCCTGCTAGATTTCAAACTCAGTTTACCATTTCTATTTAAAGTTGTACAATTGTGATGAGGAAAGAAAAATATGATCTTTTAAATCTCTTACATCTAAATATAACAATGAAAATAAGTCGAATTTTTTTTTCGACCCTTACCTTACGTGAGACGATTCTTAGAAATGTTGGTGGCGCGGCGTTTTAGAAAAATTTCAGCTGAGGCAGAAATCTAAGATTTGAGGCTGAGATTTGAGTTGAGATTGTTATAAGTTGGTGGCTCCGAAGCCATGTGTCTAGGAGGAGAACATTTCCCCTGTAGACCAGTCAAAACCCTCAGTGAGCCTTCAGTCTCGATTTAGTGTACATGTAGTAATGTAATGTCTTTACAATTGGTCTGAACCATGACATTCAAAATTCGACATAACGATTTTTTTCAAAAAATGTTATCATAACAACCATTACCGTCGGGGCAAGTCCAGCTGTATAATAATAATATTACTAGATAATATCATTTTTACATAGCTCACACTTTTAACTTTGATCTGCCTCTTCAAAGACCACGAGACCCAGTCTATAGTTTGTGAAGTTACATGACTTTGCATGTTAGTTACACTTCTATGACGGTCAGAAGGGAGTGTAATAGTGCAAACCTTTTTAATCAAAGGCATTCTAGAGTAGATCATCACAATAATTGGAATACTGCTACGCGCCCTTATCGTATGGAAGTGTGGTAGCGAAAAAATTCTAGGAAGGTTTTACATAAGAATTTGCTTGACGAATGTACGAGCGTTGATCCAAAAGTTCGTGGAATTTCTTTATATTTTATTTATTATTTAATGGAAGCTATTAAAAGTTACAGGTGAAAATATGTACACTGTTGAATTTTTTTTGATAAAAAAACATTTTAAAAATTCATGATAGTAACAATTTGGCAGTTGCCATAGAAACGAATTTTTGAAAATGCGGGGGAGGCATTTTTTTTTTTGTTCATTATCATTTCAATTCTTGATACTGATTGAGAAAAAAAAAAAAGAGATAAGTGTCATATAAAACGAAAATGATGTCATAATTACGATTACTAATAAACTTTTGTGTGAAAGTTTTATTCGATTTTACTAGATATTTAGTTTTTCTATTGATGATTTGTCGAAATTCGGTCAGTTAATAAGTTTTGTGCAAACCTCAGGAACACTCCGACTCAGACGCATGTACTTACGAACAGGCAGAACAAAAGTGCAGTAGGCAACTGGTTTTCAATTGACCATGCCTAGAAAAAGTACGCATTCTAGTTTTATAGCGAACTCAATAAAAGCGGAATTAGCATTAATCTGTGATTTTTCCCCAGGGAGATGTGCGCGAGGCAATTAATGTCAGCAGTTTTGAGGGAAGGATCTTAAGTTTTACTGGTTTTAAACTAAAGCTAGAATACTTATTTTTAGAAGCCTTTGCACCTTTTTTTCCCGTTTTTAATTTTTTTTTTTTTTGGAGGGGGGGGGGGGGGGGGGTCCATGTATATGATGTTAAAAAACTAAAAAAGAAATTGAAATAAATTATAGCAAACTAATTAATTGTTCAGTAAAAATTAGACGCCTTTCAAATTTTTCAGTGTTTCCATATCAAATATTTTTTCCTAGTATAAATTAACATCGGGCACGATGAACTTGGTTGTTGTGGAAGTCTCGCGCCTTATTAAGGTATACCGGTAATTGACCAATGAAAATGAACTTATTCATTGTAGTTCAACTGTAGTTCCATACATATTAAATTTTTTTTTTCCTTTTGATTTTTTTATTTCCTTTCAGTCTATTTTTCACAATTTTGGTACCTGTGTCTGGTGCATTTTACATATTTTGTAAACAAATAAAGGTTTTTGACAGAAACTTTTTTTTCCAGGGCATAGGAGGCTACTTCCTGGCGTAGAAGTTTATTTTTCCTTTACGAAGAAAACGGAAAACGTAGGATCCACCCCTTCAAATCTGCTGCCGTTAATTGTCTCGCCAGCGTTAGGGGAATATGGGTGATTTGCATCAATTACACTTTTACTGACTCCATCGCTGTTGAAAATGAACGGGATTTCTTGGCATGGTCAGAAAATTTGTGTGGATACATGTATAACATCATTGGCCTTGTTATGATTTGCTTTTTTCAGGAGGGTTTTTTTATTTCTAAATTTTTAAATTATTTGTGCATAAATAATTTTAGAGAGTGTTACTTTTTTCTATTTGTTAAGGTGTTCTGCAGGTTTCATGCATTTCGCTCGACCCAGTAAATCAACATTAAGTCATTTTCTGTCTAAATATATTATTTCAAAAGAATTTGATGCATTGGCAATGAAATTCAAACAAACAGAAACACGGAAAGGGGGGGGGAGGAGGGGATGTATTTTACCGTGAGAAATTTAAGGAAAACGGAAGTTCCAATGATGATTAAAGGTCTATCTGCCTTATTGGAATGTCATTCTTTCCTCCTTGGCAAATTGAGGACCCTAAGGACGTGGATAGCTTATGCACTGTGCTTGACATTGCTTCTGAATTCGGAACATCATATGGAACAACGTTAAGAGAGTGTATTTTGAACAATGAACGTAATATGAAGAAAGTGGGTGCGAGATTGGTACCCAGGCTTTCCTCGAAGGCAGAAATGGAGAAACGAATGCAGTGTTTAGCAAAATTTTTAAAACTATTTGAACGTGAGGGTGAGATGCTCCTAGAATGTGACGTTACATACCAAACTTGACGTTACGTACGTCAAAGTCTTCCCAGGATTTTACAGTTGTCCATGTTTAGAAAGCTCATGTGACCTTCCTGGTAATGGGAATGTGGTGAAATTTTCCAGAATTGTTGCATATGGGCTCTTTTTTATAGATATGTCCTTTGTTTGCTTTTATCACATCACAACACAATTTTAGAAAGAAATTCCACGAACCTTTGGATCAACCCTCGTACATATTTCATTTCGAATTTAACTCTGTTTTTACACGCTAGTATATAGAGCTGCCTGTGCTTGTGTTCGCTATAACACATAAAATGTTGTTGAAAATATTTCATTATACTGACTCAAAAAATAAATAAGTTTTAAAATGTAAAAGAATATGCAAAACAGTTTTGGGGTATAGAAATATTACCTAACCAAAATTCTGATTCAAGGTTCCCAAAGCCAATATCATAGTCTGTCCAATTCCTGTAAAAATTTTCAGATCCGTCTGATCGTCTTTGTAAAACCTGTAGAAAAAATCTGTTTGATAAACCGACAAAGAGTTGCAGATAGGTAAATTTATACACAAAATGATCCTGCCAAACAATCAACCAACCATCAATCAATCGTCGCCCTATGATTATTGCAAGAATTAGTATATTTGAATACATTCTTAAATATAAAACTTCTTGTCTTAAATAAACATCAAGCACACTTCTTCTGCATTTTTATAGCAGACGTTGTCCTGTTAAAAAATAATAATAATAATAATAATGGTTTTGGCGAATATATGGTAGAAATCCCATGAAATGGAAACGTTGATGCATGGACACAATTCATGGCGTTATATTGCAGATAATAAAGAGATATGTTTGTTTGTTTGCTTGCTTGCTTGCTTGTTTAACGTCCCTTTTTTTTTTTTTTTTTTTTGCTCATATTGAGACGCCGCCACTTGCTGCAAATTTTAGACCAATACTCGTCACTCAGGGTCATTGATCAGTGAGGGATCTTTTTCGTGCCAGCATCTACTGCGACACGTGACCTCGGTTTAAACGGTCTCATTCACATCCCGCAGAGGGATTCGAACCTGCGACATAAGGATCAACTACTTATTCCTCGACTCTAGAGCAAACGCTCTAACCACTTCATCACGCGGGCGACATAAAGAGATATGATTATTACATGTAAACATGTATGCACCTTTATGGGGTACAATTTATAATTTTGTCCAGTAAAACTGAGAACCGTTGATAAATTTATAGGGTCAATTAGGGCCCTGAGTGACCCTTGCTCTGGACTATATGAATCTTTCTTGTTTTTATTAAAAAAAAAGATTTTTTATTTCTTACAGTCCAAGAGTTGTCCCTTTCAAATGAGCAGTAAACATGCTTTTGATCACCCGCCAACACAATGCTATACACTCCAGACTTCTTAGTATGATTTGATACACAGTTGCAATCATGGCATTGATCTGAAAGGATAAATGAAAAACAATGTCCTATCAAAGACTAGGAAATTATGGTGAGTTTGTATAAGGAAATCTAATATCTTATGTCTAGTATCTAGTATTTTTTACCATCGAAATAAAGGATTGAATATAAAACACGTTAAGGCCCTTTTTGTCTTATGTAATCTGGCAACGTTTTACTATCATTGCACGATTCATCAGCTTCAATTTGCCATGCAGATATTATATATATATACACCATATAAATTATATATATACACCAATACGATATCAAACCGCCGAAACACTTTGCTGTCATAACAATACAGTGAATAATTAATTACGCACATTCTAAACGATAACAATATTAGAAGAAATAAGAAAAATCGGAGCACTGTGTTGTATTCTCTAAATTTAGAATTGCGTGGCTGATGGATGTCGCCTAAATGCACTCGATCGAGTATTCATACCATGGAACGCATGATCGCAAGAGTGCCGCACTTCCGAAAGGGCCTTTAAATAAAAGGCATTGCGTTTATAAGTAACGTCAAGCGGAGTAATACATTTTTGACGTAACTCATTGTGACGTAGGCAACTTATGTTATACGATATAAACGAAATCTATTATCTAATAAAATGACGTGTTACAACTAAACAACTATATATATATATATATATATATATATATATATATATATATATATATATATATATATATATATATATATATATATATCCTTACCATATGTGCAAACTTCTGTCTTCCTGTCAGCATAGCCTACTTCGGTGCATCCATCCTTCTGTTAACATAAAATGTATTCTTTTATATGCTTTAGAAAAACGAATATTTCTTTTATTAAGCTATAGTTTATTATTTTCGGCTTATTCTATTATAGCATATTAAGCTTAATTCAGGCAATAAAAGAGCCAATGAATGAAAGATAAAGAAATGATTGAATTTAGATTCGTTTGTGTTCAATGGAAGCTTTATAATTTTCGTAAAGACAGTTTGGTGAGGTTTTTCTGATGATAAGATTAACATAAACTGAAGAGGATTTACTACCGAGTATTCAGAAATTCTAGTTTCAGTTTAAAACTGAAAAGCAGACTTTAGTGATCTTCCAGTAACCATTAGTAACTGAATGACAGGTACTATGGTAAAATGTAAGATTATTTTCGGTTTTAAGACATACAAGATAGTGGAACGGACCATTAAATGTTAAGCATGTAACAAAATCCGAGCAGTTTTCATACATATACAAGAAATGCACAATTTATGTATGCATGCTTTAATATTCATCAACAATCTTCTACATGTAAAAGTGACGTATAGATTGAAAGGTAAATTCTCTTCTGTGTTTAATTATTAGTAGAATAAATGCAACTGTGAGTAGAATACGGTGTCTTTTCGTCACTGAAAGTCTTCTATTCAAACAAAACTGATTACATCACCCCAATATCAAGCAAGAAAAAAAATAAACAGGAGATCTTTCTTTAAAATACATTTACTTTATTAGTTTTAATGCATGAAAAAAGACGATAAATAGATTTCTGTAGAATTAAGAGTCATTCTCTGTAATGACTTGAACTTTTATATAGGAGCTGTGGCACGCATAGTCTCAGAATTTCTCCAAACTCTCTATGATAAAAGTCTTTGATACCGTAAACTCAAATCAGGCAAAAATTCGTTGCTATGTGTCATGGTTACCATAGCAACACGTCCTTAAGTTTGAAAAATGGCATTTTTCAACATGTTCAGAGTCCCACAGTTAACATTTGCAGCAAAGCAAACAAGTGACAATGACTGTTTCTGAAAGTTGAAGGCCTGATGTCTTAAATGCACATTATCGAAGAAAAGACAACAACACAAAACATTGTATACTTATTGAATTTATTATATATACCCTAACTGTGGCGTATAAGTGGGCACGGCATTGTATTATAAATTTAAATTTGGTTGCCATTTCAACTTGGGCGAGCCACAACATATCAACATCACAACATCAACTCAATGTTCAAATTCAACTGTTCAATACAAATTACAAACTTCAACACGTTTGTATTTCAACTGTTCAACACATATCTGAACTTCAACTGTTCAGTCAACATCAACATTATTCAACAACTAAGCAACCTTAATCAGCGTAACCCCGGGAAAAGGCGGACGCTGATTAACAATTTCACGTAAATTACTCTAAGTTACCTTGACCCCGGGAAACGGCGGTCAAAGTTTGATAAATGTCATAGAGTTTTTTGCAAATGTTCATTTTCTTTTCTTGATAATAATAAAGGTGCCACGCAATCCGCATATCCCGTGCGAATAAATTCCATCATCAGAAATAGAAGTCGCTGGAATACCCATGACGAATAATGAAACGTCCAAGTGGAATCGATCCTTTTCGTCTCTTTAGTTCCGTGCCAATTTCTTCATAGTGAAAACAGACTTTCAAGTACTTCATCTGAAACAAAGAGCCAAAGAAGCAGCAGCAAGAGAAAGAACACAATGCATCTAAGTAGTCAAGGCCGTACGTATAGGTAAAAATTTCCCGCCAAATTTGGTATAACATAGGGTAGAGCAGGGGGTCGGGAAATTGATGTCCCCCTGGGGATATACGGGTAACTATGATGAGGGGTCCCTTGCATTAATTTGCTAACCCCCGGAAATCTTGGGGGTGCAATCAATTCCCGCCATTTATACACAGTGGACAATTTCAGGTAGTTTTTTAGGATTATTGATATCACAGAGACCTAACCACTGTTGAAGGTGACTAAGTGTATCAGGTGGGATACTCGAGTACCATTACATGGGGCATTGGGCGGGGTTAACTCCGGTGTATAACAGTTAGGGTCAGTCCACAAGTATAGATGATTTCCCACCAAATGCCGTAACATTATATGTGCGATGTTTGAGATAGTTATAAAGAGTCTTGTATGATGTCCGCTAATGTAAACATGAACTAGTAATCTGAACAATTCTTCTTGCATTCCCAGCGGAGCTAATGACAGTAACTGTTTCAATTCCTTGTTAATTCTTACATAATATTGTTCATCAGTTCTTTTGTTTTTCAAGGTGATATTTGTTAATAAATCTTTTAAAAACTTTTTATGGATTTCATAATTAATAAATAAAGAAATGAAAAACCCAATGTCAAGAAACAATATTTGTGAAAAAAATTTTAAATTAAAATTTAAATAATATAAATAATTGTGTAGTTACAATTTTAATCATATTGATATGTAATTTATTTTTAAAGAATATGCATGTCAGTATTGTTTAAAATACCGTTTTAATAAATCACAGTAACCTCCCTTTAAAACACCCCATGAGCAAATTAAAAAAGGGTGCGTGTGTGTGAGTTTCACTTTGTGTTTTAATGAAAAATACTACAACTGATTAAGAAAAACGAATCCCTTCAATGCATCACGCATAGTACTGAAGAACCAACCATAAATGAATTGAAATCTAATGTCGATGAATATGACTGTAGACGGCAACCTGTGTCTATTTTTGGAACGCCACGTCACGACTGCTGCTATCGTGTCAATTTTTAGGACGTTACGATTTGACTGTAGACTCCTTTGACTGCAGACGGACCCAAGCGTTAAAATAATTTGTGTGACGTGATTTATTTTGTCCAATGAAATTGAGGAATTTTTACAGTCAGTTTAGGTCATCTATATAAAGATGGGGTTTTCTGAGGCACTCAGAGGTGAGCGCCTGGAAATAGCATGGGAAGGACCCCCTTGTTTAACAGCTGTTCAAAAATGCAGTAGCGCGCACTACTCAACCGTAACACAGGTGAAATATTTATACGTCGCTTTTTTTGTAGATAAGACGATAATAAATAAAAAGGATAAGTTGTTTTTAAGGTGTTTATTGACTAATCATAGGTGATATATAGTTACAAAAATAATAATAAACATACATAAACAAATGATTTCTAACATGAAAAAAAAAAACTAAAGTGAACAAGACATTTAGTGTGATAAATTTTAGGACATAACATCACTTGCTTTAATCCATGAATTAAATTTAGAGGGCCAATAAAGCCATTTAACAAAATACTGTTTGTTACGACC